CTATCGTTCTCTCAAGGGTGCGGTATATTACACACCCCGAATATTCTACATCTACCTCACAAGATTTGTTAGTATTTGTTACGATTACGACAAGAAATATTTAAATTCCACTTTCACTATATGTAAGATTATTGTTCCAAAATTCCAGACGAATTCCATATTCCAGTTTTTTCTTCTAGGTCGGCTTGCGTGAACGTATTTGATGGCAATCACCCAGAACGAACAGGCGAATGAACGAAACGTCATCCCCCTGATATTTGTGGTCATTGGCATTGAAGATATGATCTAGAATCGGAACGGCCCGGCCGTCATGAAAGCAAAATAATTTCAGATCAAAATCACCTTCGCCTCAAACGTTAACCTTGGCCTTAAAAAGCTCCTCTTGAAATATTTTTGACGCCAAATAAAAAATATAAAAAATCAATTTGAAAATTGTACGTTTTTTCATTTTCCAGTCAATTGCATTTGGAAAGCTTAAATCTACTATGAATCTTGCATACTTACTCGAAAATCAATATATTTATGTGCTTATAGTATATTATATATATATATGCTTATACTATGTCCAGTAATCTTGTAGCCCAGTCATTTAAATCATCCTGGTCCGCCTATCTTCGCTGTTTCGATCTGTCAGATGAGTTTTTGCATCTCCAGTGGGTTTGTTACATACTTCGACAAACTTGTCGACAAACGTATAAAATGGACTTTATTTAACTATATCCAGTAAACAACAAAAAATAAAAATTATAACAATTGCAAGTATTTGTTAAAATAACGTTGGCCACTTTTTTAGGCGTAGTTTCAAATAATAACAATAACCCAGAACAAAATAATAAATCTTAAATAAAATGCGATTCGATCTTTTCTTTGAGAAAAAAACTGTTAAACTGACATTAGCTTTAAAATATTCAACTCTTTTTGACAAAACCATAGAAAATCATCAAGATTGGATTGGCAGCGAAGAAGTTAGACGTATGGCCATCCTGCCCGTATGCCATACTGTATACGTTCAAAATATACCGACCAATTATCGCCATCCGTCGAAAGCTTGGTGAACCCAAAAAAGTCTACTTCATCACAAGACCTTATTAAGATAACTCAAAAATTCTAAAGTAATTATTACAGATCAATAACAACTGTAACTTTATTTTTTATTCTATTCTATCAAGGCGTCTAACCTTTCAAGTTATTTATGCTAATAAATACATTCACTTAAACATTGATTGTATTAATTGGAATTCCGTTTGGAAAGAAAGCTGATTTTAAAAATTATATCGTGAGGTTTCTCTAGGTTGTCTGCAGGTTGTTAGGTTAGGTCTTATGTTAAGCTTATCATAATATGCTCATTAATTCAAAGTTATGACATTTCTTTTACTATTCGAATGTGAATGACGTATGCCCAAAGAAAAAACATAACGAGGTACTCGGGTTTTTCGCAACACACATTTGTCGTGCTGGTTTAGTATACATGTACACAGAAGAGACACATATACACTCAAACGACTCGCAATTTTCCCTGTTTTTTCGTTTGAAACATATGACCAAGGCCGTGAAGAGAAATCAGCTTTCTGACATGCTATCAACGAACATGGACATGTGATGATCCGCGAGAACTTGAGGCGGAATAGGTTTTCTGGTGTTGTGGGGCTCAGGGGAAGGCCGGTGTTGTGTAGCTATAGAAACCTCATCCAGAGAGGAGATCAATGCATACAGGCTGCAAGTGCAAGTTCGTATAAGCCACATCGATTTTGCCACACTAAAAGAACTTCGAAAGAATGATGTATTCGGCATGACCATAAATATGTTCACTACTTATAATTTTTCAAGATAATACCAGAGAGAAGGGCATTGGACTACTATTCAACGCTAAAAACCAGCTTCTCAGTGGAACGTCGCGTTGGCGGGGGTATCGGCGGGTTCAGTTTTGCAATTCATGTCGAGAGACGTAGTTGTAGAACTCCTTCAACCTGATGATGAGCTAAAAGCTCGAAATCCAGATCGTTAACCGATACACCGCACTCACTCCACCATTCATCAGTTCTATAAAAGGATTAACCTGATCTTGTATCGAATCTTCTGCACCTTAAATATGCATGATTTTTAAATATATTATGTATATCAGTCAATTTTTTAATGTTTTTAATATTTAAGGCACGATGCATGATCAAATTAAATGAGAGAAAAAGTAGAAAAAGTAATAAAAACGAAAAGAAGCTTCTAGTAGAGTTACAGTAATGACTCGTTTTAAGCGACCATTAAAGCTCATAAATATGATTTTTTTAAAGCAGTTAATATGAATTTTCTGTCAGGATTAGCCCATGGTAGTGTTTTGTCTCGGTGTCTTGTCGTTTTTACATAAAAATTCATTCCTGTGGATTTTATACCATTTGAATGTTATGACAAACTAAACCAAAAAACTTAGATTAAAATAATAATTATTTGGAATAATTAATATGGTAAATTATGGCCACTAAACAAATATGGATTAAGTTATGACAAATATTGAAAGAGAGATTTTTCTACTTTCACGTTATGTCAACTATATTTAGTTTTTATGTCGATTAAAAAATTAGAAAAGAAAAAAAATTAGTATAAAATCAGCAAAAACTTTTCAATCGATTTACTTTATATCTCCAGTTCTGATTTACTTACGTAAGCCCAGTTTGTCCTAAAAATCAGTAAAGATTTTAAAGACAAAATTTTTACCCAATTACATAATTTGTCCGGAAAGCCAAAGTTGGTACGTTTTTTGCACCCTCAGAACAAAAAAATAAAATGTTTTCCTTGAAAATTTTTACTTTCTAAAAAGCCTTCGGTTTTTTTCGAAAATTATAAAAATTATAACTTTGAAACTATTACACTGATCTACCAGAGACACTGCAGGAGCTGAGATCCCCAATTTAAACAATAAATTACACGTAATATCATAAATTTGATCATCGTAAATAAATTAAAATTAAAGTTGAAAATTAAACGTTTGGGGAACTTTTTACACGTAATATCAAAAATTTGATCATCCTAAATAAATTAAAATTCAAGTTGAAAATAAAACGTGTGAGGAACTTTTATAGACTTCATCCTTATTTTTCTTAATTATAAGTAGAGACCGGATTTTTATGCTGTTGCATATTTTGTATGCCACCACATACGTCCCAAGAAATCAATTATCTATCCGAATCATGTGTCTAGGAAGCCGTAGGTTAAATTTTATAGGGCATATTTTTGCATATTTGATGAATATCGCACAAAAACGCATATTTGAACAATATCGCATATTTGAAGGATTTTAACGTAAAATGGCATTTATCGCTCAAAATATTTAAAATATTGTATTGGCTTTCGGGGGAAGCATAAAAAAATCTGTAAAACAATAACAAGTTGATGAAAAGTCAGTTTAATTCAAATAAAACTGAAATAGGCCGCAACAACGGAATACCGACAAAAGATTGTAAAACCCTTTCCTAAGTCTTATTTCAATATTCAATATTCTCAAAAATTCACTAGTTTTCGTGGTTCTCTTGACCATTTAATATCTTTCAATTAATTAAGGTTTTTAGATAGTTTAGATAAAAAGCCAGCGTCACGAGGGGGATTCGAACCCACGACCTTCCGCTAAATACGCCGCTGCTCTACCACTTGAGCTATCGTGACTTCGATCTACTCGGACATCAACTTCCCTGTATTTAGTTAACTAAACTCAACTAAAAACCTTAATTAATTGAAAGAATTCTCACAAAATTTAAGTGACCGTAGGCACAATTTCACGGAAGACAATGTAGAGAAGCACTTGTTTATTAACATTAACTCAATTAGTATAAAATATATAATTTAATTATGTAAGTGAGAAAATATTTTTGTTAAATATATATAAACTCTAGGGGGCGTCGGTGGCCGAAACGATTTAGGCATTGACACGGCGCTCATCACTGTAAGGTAAAGGTCCCGGGTTCGAATCCAGCGGCCCTGCATTCAAACCCGACATCTCACACATGGGCTTTTTTTCAAAAACACCGGCACCCCGAGGGTTCAAATAACCTCGCAGTCCGGGGGGGGGAAACTCTAATACTTGTGAATTCGAACGAGTTTTAATATCTATATTTCTGTTTAAAGTTACTATGATAGTAAAAAAACTAGTTTACTGCATATCATTGCATATTCTAGCGTATTAATATTGCATATTATTGCATATTTCAGGGCTTTCAACTGCATATTTTATGGCATATTTTGGCAATTTTTACTGCATAAAAACCCAGCCTCTGATTATAAGGCATAAAATTTAGATCTTGATGACAAAAATGGAAAGAAAAGAAGGCTAAAATCGGTATTGTGAAATTTTAAGAAAAACAACACTCCAAGCCTAAAATGTATAGTTTTTGATTGCTATAAAAATTCGTATTTAAAGTCTTTAAACAGTGCTTAAAATAAATACTAAATTTTTTTTCAAAAGCCAGGACGGGGTGCTTCTGACCATCTTCAATGTTAATTACTGCGCGTTAGAGTTCTGAGACATATCGAACCTACCGACTACCGAAACGCACTCATAAACCGAAAGATCAAGGATAGGCAGGCCAAAATGGTCGGAAACGATCAAACTACAGATTTTCTTTTTGTAGTTGACCGTGTCGAGGCGGAAGTGTTTCTCGTCATGTTCAGTGGTATGCATCTTCAAGGTGCAGAGATTGACTGAAAGGACCAAATTACAGATTCGCCGTGAAATCTGATAATTTGAACTAGTCGACATTGATGACTTTTCTGGGTCTCCAATTTACCTTGTACTCATACACGTTTAGGTTTAATGCCAGTACTGAACAGTAGGGCAGTAATAAAAGTAATTTTATGGAATAAATTCCACAACCCCTTTGAGCGGGATAGTGAAAAAAATCGATTAACAGCCGGCAAGGTTGAGTTGTCAGGTGAAATTGTCCAGAATGGTAAACTCTACCGAGCCACCCCACCACGCGCACTCCCACCCGCTCTGCCCTCGCTGGAACGTCCTCCGCCTCCGATCGGCAGTTGACCGGTGTCGGCTTTTGTGAACGTGCTGGATTCTTCGGCTCCGACAGACACGACAGAGGTAGACGTCAGCTAGAAAAAAAAAATCACCCAGCCACCAAATTTTGGATCAGTAGCGACGCACTATCACAAAATCGCAGCATGGTCTTTTCAGTTTCACCTAGTTTATTGTGTGTGCAGCAGCTTTTATTTGAAAAATAAATGTACGATTTTTTTTTAATTATGCGCATGTTTGATTTATTATCAGCTTTATAATTCTCACAGTTGATTACGTCTAAAATCGTCAAAATTCAAGGAATCATAAAATAATTTACACTAGAGGTATTATTATATTACTGCACTATAAAACAATATTAGAATTTCAATTAATTATTCTTTTTATCTCAGGACTTGAATGAGTTGAAAAAGTTAGTGTTACTAGCGGGATTCGAACCAATCAAGACCTTAGATAAAAAGAATAATTAATTGAATAATTTATATGGACAATTATGACCCTATAAATTGTTATGACCCTAAACGTACGTGGATTAATATTAGATTATTATTTTTGTAAAAAAAATACAGTGCACTGATAAAATAAAACTAGAATAAACTAAAATAACAAATAAATACTCTATTATAAATACCTTTGTATGGAATAAAATAATTTAAATCACCTATCATGATTCCTAAACACTAAGCACGAGAAAAAATAGTCATAATTATGGGAACAAATAAAACTTAATCCTAAATTAATAATTAATTTGTGTAGTATCTTTAACACAAATAGTTGGAATAACAATATTCAGAAAAAATAAAACTGATTGATAATTGATTTGAGTATAAAAAATGGCTTTGAATTATAACACTATTTCGGTTTTTCTGATAATGCCAAAAAACCCTTAGTATTTTGCTTAAAGATAAATTAAATAAAAAACAAATAAAGTTAATTATGTAAATAAAAACAGTTGTTCCTATGTAAATTTTTTTTTGAAATTTAAACTGTGATTCAAATATGAAAGATTTGTGGGTGTGTGCCTATGTCTTTCGTCTTTGCGTTGGGGGGAGGATTAAAAAGTAAAATTGAAAATTGAGTTTTCTTAATGAATATAAGTCATTTTTGGCTTTTAACTTCAAAAATGAAAATAATTTCATTCAAGGCACTCTCAACACGACACGCAAGAATGGCACAATTACACAGAAGACAAACACTTTGAGCCCTGAAGATGATCTCATTAAAGGTCGAAAGGTTGGACGAAAGAAAATGTTTTTCTAAAACCTACATCACACCAAACCGCATCTCACGATTTCTGAATAATTAATGAAAATAATCCAGTTTTTGATTCCCTATCGACTTTTTCTATATTGTTTTGTTTTAAATTTCGGATTGAAAAATCTAGGATAAGACCAAACTGAAACTTATTGTTTTTCAGTACTGTCTGTTAACCTTGGATTATTAATAATAGTTTCATGTCCTGATGAAAGGAATCACCTTTTTGCGAACGTTTTTAATTAAAATAAATAAATAACAATAAAAGCTCATAAAACACATTATCTCTGAACAATTAAAGATGTCTCTTGATTGATATGCACTCGATCTACTTTTGAAAATAAACGTGAATTATCAAATCCTTCTATATAAAAGTTTATGTCAGAAAAGAAACTTTTCGGGTATGAAGAACATTTTATGAGCTATTCTGGCATTCAAACCCAGGAATAAATGTTACTGAGGAGGATAGAAAATGCCTCGAAATGTATTTACATAAAAACATATATAATAACGTTTTAAAAGCAGGGTATTTAACGTCGAACTGCCCATAGAATGTCAGGAGGGGTCAAACCACTTTACATCACAGGTTTCATATTATTCTCATTTAAATATGCATGGGATATCCCGGGATTTCAATGATTTATAAAGACATTCGTTATTTTTATAATAATACATAGAAAATAAATTGAAATAGATAAATCGATAATCGTTTATCATAGCATTTTTAATTTCTGTTACCTTTCTGTTCCAAGTAGTTTTAATGACAAGTTCAACTTACTAACACCTATTTTTTTATATGTGCATATAGAACAATTTTTGAGAAGAAATAGTAAATATTTATTCGATTATTTATCTCTTTCGAATTAGCACAGTGTTTTCTATTAACTGTTTGTGCAAGGGGAGTTAGAGGTGCTAAATAAAGGTTGATATGTCATATATAATTACCATAAATATAACATATAAAATAAAATATCAAGTTGATAAAATACAATTAACACAATTATTGTATTACTTTGCAACTAGATGTTTTTAAGGTGAAATTTAATAATATTTTTGAGATTCTAGTTTTCGGTTAAAGCAAGAAAAAAATGGCATTGTTAGTACACCATTTATCAAATTAAATTTTAATTTTAAATTTTCTTACTGCAGCTCTTACACGGTTGTAATCATAGGGGAAAAAAGTTGAAATATCGAAATATTCACCAAACTATTTTTACTCTTCGTAGGAAAATTCTTTGCCCTAGGGGATAGGTAAAAAAACACCAGGATTCAATTTTTGCTTGCGTTTGCTGTCTGATGAAAGGTTTTTCTCGACTTTACCAATTATAAGTAGTCTGTCAGGCCTAACACATTGGAATATAATACACTTATCTCATTGTGGAAAAATTTGATTTATCCAATTTTACCAACGTTGCAGAATTATTCATCTATTATATTTTAAGAGAGTAAGGGATAGCGATGTATGCAGACGAATAACGGAGAATTTATGCAACACACTTTCAACGACAAAAACTGATGAAATTATACAAAATCTTCTCACGACTACTCGACAAACGATCCAATGAACTGACCAACAAAAGACAACTTGACATACTAAAACCGACATGGACATACGGACCAGAAATCTGAGGTTTAGCCAAACGGTAAAACAATCTATGTATTCAAACAACTCGATAAAAAATTTCTTCGAAATATCATACCCGGTCCATTTTATGTAGCAAATAAAACTACATACAAAGCCCCCTTTGCCTCTCGATGTAACTCGATCTTTTTACCTTAAATTTAACTAATTAATATTTATGAAAGGTATTGGTTGAGATAAAAAGGTCACGAGCGGGATTCGAACCCACGATAGCTCAAGAGGTAGAGCAGCGGTGTATTTAGCCGAAGGTCGTGGGTTCGAATCCTGCTCGTGGCACTGAATTTTTTTCTTAACCAATACCTTTCATAAATATTAATTAATTGAAAAAAGTTAATTGGTCAATCGGACCACGAACTGTAATGGACTTAAATTTAACAAAAATCCTTCCACCCTTCGCACAGGGTAAACAAACAGGAGACATAATTGATTGATAATGTTTTATTTCACCATTTATTTCAACACGCATGGTAGGTCTCTTGGACCTCTCTGGAATTTAACATGGAGAGAGAGAGAGAGAGTGAGAGTGAGAGTGAGAGGGAGAGACAGAGAGAGAGAGAGACAGACAGACAGAGATATAGAGATGCGAGGGAGAGAGACAGGATAAACGCATAAATAGAAAGAGAGATTGAGAGAAAGAGTGAGGGAGTAAGACTGACAGAAAAGAGGAAATGATTTATATGCTCACAAAAATTATTCAACCCTGCACACAGATTAAACAGGCGATGACCTAGAGATCTAAACCGTGACTACGAAGGCGAGAGTGAGTGAAAAAATCTTATGAATCAAAATAATAGTATCTGTCTATTTACGAAACGATAACAGTTGGTAGTTTCACCACTCTTTATAAATTTTGCTTTTAATTTCACCAAACATTGCTGGTTGTTCATTCTTATGAGATAGTAATAATATGCATTGATTATAAAAAAAGAAAAGAATGAAAAAATTGGTTAAACAGGCGAACATTGTCTTTGGCCAATTCTCCTGCAGTTTATACCATCATGTCATTACATACTTTATATTCTATTTATATATTATTTATTCCGAATGTAAAAAATATTTTTTTAAAGTCAGTTTCTATGGTCACTAACAGACATGACAATCAAAACTCCCACAAAAATAATTTCAAGGGACTGTCCAGTAAAAGTCAGGCTGAAAGAGCTATTATTTTAATCATTACTACGCGCTTTGAATAAAAAAATAATGTATTATCGACCGGCGGCCAATAAACGCTTCTATTATTTTTAAGCTGGTAAGGTCAAGAAACCAGATTGCAAAGTATATGGCAAAGGGTAAAGGTCAACAGATCTAAACGTATCACACTGGACTGTGCTATCGCGTAATTACCGCTGTTTTGCATTAGCCGTTTATCCAAGACTCGAAAAGAGGAATTTTCAATGTTAATCTAAGACTGGCAACTCACGAATGGAATATAAATAAATTCACCCAAATGGTTCGATGGCCCTTTAACACAGAATAAAAAAGAATATTTCTTTATTTGAGTAAAATGATATTTAAAAGTCTTCCGATTACAGGTACGATTTAAAATATTCATGAAATTCGTGGCTAGTAGAAAGTTTTTTTATTTCATTTTCTAGGATATCTATTTTTATTTTTATTATTCAGAATTATGTATTATATGAAATGGTGAGACGTGTTTGTTTATGTTGCTTACTGTATAGGAATAATTGATCTAAGTTTTATTTTTTATAAACTTCTCAAAAATAAATATGGATAATATTGCCAATTTTGTAGTATTTACTTTAAATTGCATTAAAATTTATTAGAAATTATTATGTTCTTTACTGAAGGAAATTTTGTTAACGGGTTTTCATAAATAACAAAATAAAAGGTTTTAATTCAATAATTGTGTTTATTGGACACAATAATTTCTTTTTAAACTATTAATACTGTATAATGTCAGTACAGTATAATGTCCTCTGTTAGCTAAAACTTTTGTGCACCTGTTAGGCATACTATTAATAAGGTTGTCATAAGGATTTTCAATTTTTTTTTTTTTTCAATTTCATAAGGAATTTCACTTGCAACTCTGCGTACTTGTACGTCAACTGGCTGCGGATGATGATCGAAAAGCATTCTCTGCAACGCATCCCACTTTGGTTAATGGGATTGAAGTCTGGAGACAATAGCGGAATGGGCAGATGGGAATTTCCCAGGTTTTCTAGACATTGATGACAACTCTGCCCATATGAGTATTGTAATCCAGAAACCGAAAATCCCTGCCAATGAGATCCCGGTTTGAGGGATGTTTTCCTCGATAAGTTCTTAGACATAACGGACTCCGGTAAAGTTGC